GAATTGTGAGTTCGATCCTCACTGGGTGCCCCTAACTTTTGGCCTTGTGCCACATCTAAGCTACGCTTGGAAAATCACTATAAGTGTGAGGAAATAAATACTATAAACGCTAATTTCAATTTTACATCAAAAAGCATTGAAGATAAGCTTAGCTCAAAATGTTAATATTTCAGCATCCAATTTATTAGGGTTAATAACCTAGCCGACTTCATTAAGCTTTCTCTTTCGTTTTTACTGGGCTACATTGGATTTTTATCTACAAGAAAGAAATGTCTACACCATACAAATTTTATTTTGCAATGATATTTACATAGTAAAATATATACGGGGTGGTCTGAAAGTCTTGTCATCCCTATATAATATAATTTTCTATTTCAGATGGCTGACACGAAGATGATGGTGTTCATACAGACCTTCTCAATGTGTGACAGTGTCAATGAAAGTGAATGAATTGAATCCAATACACGTGATTTGTATTACTTCTTCTATTGTTCTTATTACTTTTTGGTAGCGGGTGACAAGACTTTCGGACCACCCTGTATATGATATAAAGAAAATGAAATTAAACTATTAAAAATGTTCTTTTATTTGTATTCTAGCGACAAACAGAATGTACATCGGCTAAAATGTCTACACCGTACAGATTTTAATTTGGAATGATATTTATATAAAAATCATGCTGCTACTTTGGCTTTTTATCTACAAAAAAAAAGATAAAAGCCAAAATTGTGCCTGTTTTACTATGTAGATATCATTCCAAAATAAAATTTGCACGATGTAGATTTTTTTTTCTTGTACATAACAAGCCAGAGTATCACCTTTTTTTATTTTTATCACTTTCTTTAGCAATATGTCATATTTTGATAGCAATAGTTTTCTTTGAAAAAGGGAAGGTGCTGTATGATTTGGGGTTTAAATTTACAGAGTAAGATTCAGAAATCGATACACTTTCAAGAATTTCTAAATTTTTCTTTAAAAAAAGAAAATAATCAAAACTGCATTCTTTAATTTGAAAAAAAAAATATATTTTATGTTGCCTATCTAGAAAAAAAAATGTATGTTCTTTACATTTGAAACGTTATAAAATACTGTTTTTATTTTATTTTGTTAAACATTTCACTCGAAACAATGCGATAATACTACTCGGACGCAAGAGGTTACTAAGACTGAAAGGGTATAAGAAAACCAGTAAGGAAAAAGGACAATAAAAGAACAAGATTCACTAAAACAGAAGATGACGATTAACGTTGCATTTAAATTCTTGAAGAGTGTAAGTGGTAGGGATACAAAAAACCAGACTAGAGTTCCACATGAGAGATGTTACAACAAATTAATTCAACAGTAAAATGATGAAATCTAGTTGCCATATTAGTAGTACGCTTAAATTCGTTCAGTCGTGGTATCAAGGAAGAAAGGGTTTTAAATAACCTGCAAAGGGTTGATAAGACGTAGAAAATAAATAAGTAAATAAGTAAATTAGTCAATCAATCAAGTAGGATAGCTCATAAAAAAATTTATCATGAAAAATATTAATAGAAAATAAAACAGAAGGAAGACACGTCATGACGATGAGAAAGCAATGTCTTTCTAGTCTATATTTATTACTGTATAATTATACAATAATTATGGTGCATAGCCGAAAGGGGAAGGTGGGAGAGGCCGGTCTACACTAACTATCCTATACCTAGCTATTCGATTCACGACCCATTCACTCATTACAATTTCCACATTCACCACAAAAACTCATCCGTCACCAATCAATCCTAAATACACCATTATACCGCATCCTCTAAAGGGGGACCTACAAAACGCGCCCCATGCCATAAAAATCTGATGATGCTAAAATTTACAATTAAAAACCTATGGATGACTAGAATGAGAGGAGAGAGAATGAACCACAAAACAAACTAGACATGAACACAAGGTAAATTAAACATAACTGATGTTAGTAGGACCCGTCCAACCCTCTAAAAGGAGAAGCCCCTGTATTATGCCCATTGGACAAAATCAATATTTATTATGTAAAAAATTACATAATTTTGGCACAAGACCGAAAAAGGCGAGGGGTTGAGGCTGGTCCACACTAACTATCCTATACCTGGCTAATTCTATTCACGACCCATTCACTCATTACAATTTACCCATTCACCATAAGAACTCGTCCATCACCAATCAATCCTCCATGCACCATAATACCACATCCTCTGTAGGGGGACCAACAAAACGCGCCCCATGCCATAAAAATTTAATGATACTAAAATATATGTAAAAATCTATGATGAAAAAATGAGAGGGCAGGGAGATGAACCCAGTAACAAACTAAAATATCAACACAAATCAACTTAAAAATAACTGATGTTAGTAAGACCCGTCCAACCCTCTAAAAGGAGAGGCCACTGTATTATGCCCATGGGACAAAATCCAGAAGCTCTCAATATTTATGTAAAATTACATAATTAGGGTACAAAGCCAAAAAAGGGGAGGAGTTGAGGCTGGTCTTAACCCACTATCCTATACCTAGCTAATCCGATTCACGACCCATTCATACATTACAATTTACCCATTCACCATAAGAACTCGTCCATCACCAATCAATCCTCCATGCACCATAATACCACATCCACTCTAGGGGGTCCTACAAAACGCCCCCATGCCATAAAAATTTAATGATGATAAATATTATGCATAAAATTCTAATAATTAAGAATGAGAGGGGAGGGAGATGAACCCAATAATAAACTAAATATCAACACAAATCAAATTAAACATAACTGATGTTAGTAGGGCCTGCCCATCCCTCAAAACAGAGAGGCCGTTGTATTCTGCGCATGGGACAAAATCAAGAAGCTCTCTCACTAAGGGAGTGGGTAAGGAGAAAATATATACGGGCAAAGGAAATATAAAAGCAATGTCTTCTCGTCTGTGACGTAGAAGTTTTTTTTTCTGTAACGACTGACAAATCGCTCTACTTTATTCAAAATAGGGCAAGTCCATTCTGCCTGTCACTACAGAATGATTGACAGCAAGTCAGTTGTTCTGTTTAACAGTGTTATTTAACGTTGAAATCAGTTAAAACCAGGGAATGTATTTTATTTATTTATTTATTTTTTTTTTGTAATTTTTATTGCGGGCAGCAAAAACAAAATAAAAATAATTTTTAAAAAATCGATTAAAATGTAAATATTAAAATAAATAAAAAGTGTAATATGAATTAATACAGAAAACGTTTTTAATACATAATTTACTTTTGAATGGAAAACTGATAATGCATTTATTTTGGGTGGAACAAACATTTAAATAGGTTTGTTTTTCGATGATGTTTAATCGTTTTTAAATGTTCTTAGAATAAAACCAAGATATTAAGCAACATTATTAAGTGAATAAATACTTCCGGGGTGAATTTATAGAGCAAAAGGTATTCATTATTGTAAATAAAGAACAATATTTTTAATTGATACAAATGCCGGGTTACCTCCTCTTAATTTTTGAAAACGCTACTAGGGGACGCTTTCAGGACTATAAATATTTTGCGATATTTGTCTCGCCCTCTTAGTTTTTCCGCTTACACGTCAACATGTAAATCTCTCACGGAGAATGCGTTCTCCTTTGTGAAACGCATGAACAATACACACAAACACGTACGTACGCACGCTCATTCACTCACTGCACATACTTTAGACCATAAGGTTTTCACATTCATTTCATACACACGTCTTTGTCTTTGTCACTTGTAACTCTTTATTTTTAATACATTATCATTTGTTTGTACATGTATATTAGTTCGTTTCGTTTCTTTACATATCTTTACGTGGACTCACATCCCCAGTCTGCCATATTTGTTGTGGGCATTCAGGAGACACAAGTGTTTATCTCTCAACGCATACACCGGCCCGCAACACATACTTTTTAAAAACATCATTATTCAGATATAAAAGTTATCTCCCTTTAATATTTTACGTTTTCATTTTTCGTTGAAGTGAACCATTCAACAAATTCAAGATTCGATTTAACACTGCCAGTGAAATCAGTTTTCGGGTAAAGGGCACTCGCTTAATACTTAATATTTTGTTTAGTTTCTGGAAGGCATCTTTCTCAAGTCATATATGCCTTCGTATTTCTATGTTATATTTTCTGACTTTCATCACACAGAGAGTTAAACTTCTGTGCCCTATTTTGACGTCTTCAATACGCAGATCACACGTTGGCAGAGTTGGTGCAAGGGTTTCGTGCTCCCACCTGAATCTATGATACCGGGTCCCCCCACTCTACTACATCTCAACTTTCATAAAGTATTCATATAATACGAATTTTATCATAATCTAATTATGTACTATACTAGATTTTATGCAATATAGGAGTTATACTCTGTTGCAATTAGATCTCTTCCTGATTCATTTTGCATGCTGTCTGGATGTCAATGCCACGAAGGCAAAGAACAAAATGAAAACATTCGTTTTCTGCACATAGGCTCCGAGCATCACATCCAGTCCATGAAGCAAACCCCCGTGACATTGGCCAATCGCAAACTTTTCCGCCGAACAGATGTCCTTGGGTACTGCTAGATCTACTTAAAAGCAGATTTCCCATAATGACCACAAGTATTTGCGAGCTGGCAGGCCACCTGTCGACACGCAGGGCGCAGCAACCATCATCAACATGACCGCTGCTCTCAACCAACGGTACCACACACGGAATCCAGAATATCATCTCAACATCGACAACGCCTTGCTACAAGCCTTCCTCGTCGCCCGCGCCGTCACTTCGGCAAATCCACCTCCGCAAGCAAGCGACTCCGCAAGCAAGCGACTCCACAAGCAGCAACTACGCAAGCAAGCATCTTCGTTCCGCAAGCAAACGATACCGCAAGCAAGCGCCCCTGAATCCGCAAGCATGCAACCCACTCGTGCTTTCACCGTTTCGTAGAAACACAGGCCTATCAGCAAGCAGCGACTCCGACTCCGCAAGCAAGCGACTCCGACTCTGTCTCCGACTCCGCTAACAAGTGTCTTCGACACCAGCAAGAAAGCGACTCCGCAAACAAGGGACTCCGCAAGCAAGCGATTCCGACTCTGCAAGCATTTAACCCACTTGTGCTAACACTGTTTCATAGAACAGGTCTACCAGCTCCGCCAGTCCATCGTCACTTTTACAACCAACTCACCGTACCACTAATCGACCCACCAACGACTGAAGGAACACGTGCGAACGACCATATCCTATGACCTCGTCAAACCAATACAAGAAATCGGTCAACTCCTGGCGCTACCTTTCGTCGTCGCCAACGCCGTCACCTCGGCAAATCCGACTTCACTCTATAAGGCACCTTCTATTTTAAACAATTACACGTTGTTCAAAAACATAATCCTCGTTATTCCTTTCCTTTCGCAACTAAATGCTTATTGTAACATAGGTGAACAATTCAACTAAAAAAATTGAAAATAAATACGCATTAGCATTGATAACCGTGTAAATTTTATATTTATTTACCAAATGGAATCATGTTTCTGTATTTGACAATCTATTATTAAGAAATTTTATTAGTCAAAATATGGAAGATAATGTCATGATGAAATTTTCCCTGGTTGCTATTTCAAAAGAATATGGTTTTTGCCAGTTGTTGCGTGACTTTTGGAACACCCTGTACATTGTCTAAGATTTCTGAGTCTGATATCAACACACTACCATCCACGTATCTCACATTGTTAAGATTATTTATATCCACCGATAACAAATCCTGGTAGGTCTTCTAGGATCGTCTCGCTGTATCTTTGAATCTGTTTGCCTTTCTTATCTTCTTTTTTCCCTTTCTCTTTTTTGTTATATTCATTTTTTGTATTCTTTTTTGTTTTTTCCTTCTACAGGGTGTTCCGAAAGTCTTGTTACCCCTACCAAAAAGTAATGAGAACAATAAAAGAAAATGTAATTCAAAGCACATGTATTGGATTCAGTTTATTCACTTTCGTTGACACTGTCACACATCGCAAAGGTCTGTATGAACACTGTCTTTTTCGTGGCAGCCGTCTGAAATAGAAAATTATATTATGTAAGGGTGACAAGAATTTCAGACCACCTTGTATTTCCCGTTATTCCTCCTCTTTCAATTTTGTAGCTCCGTTTTTCTTTTTAACGTTCTTTCTTTATTTTCTCTTGTTCGTTCTTTCTTTTCGTCTTTATTCCGTTTTTCATTTCTTTTGGGGGGGCAAACATGGACCTTCGGGCCCACAAAAAACGGTGTTTCAAAAGGACGGTTTGTCTATTGACACCGCTTTTATTTTAACTACGTTCACTCCCTCGTCAATGTTTATTTGCAAGATAATCAAAAAATGATTGACCTTTTATAAAGATTTATTATTTACTATTTTTTTAATAATTTCATTCATTTTTAGCTTTAATTCTTTCTTTTCTTTTCCTTTCTTCCATTTTTCAAATTTAATTATTTTTTCTTCAACTGACGTTGTTTCATTCTTTTTAACTTTAATCGATTCTTTTTTCTTTCTTTTTTTTTCAATGTTCCTTTCTTTCTTTCTCTTTTTTCTTTTCCGCCTTTATTTTTTATGATTTTCTTTTTTATTCATTTTCATTTTTATTTGTATTTTCATTTCTGAGCTTCCATTTTTTTCATCATTCTTTAATCTTTATTTTTACTTTTGTTTCTTGTGATTCTTTCTTTCTTTCTTCCTTTCTTTCCTTTCTTTCTTTCTTTCTTTCTTTCTTCCTTTCTTTCCTTTCTTTCTTTCTTTCTTTCTTCCTTTCTTTCCTTTCTTTCTTTCTTTCTTTTTTCTGACTTCTATATTAAGAATTCTAGTCTTCTATTTCTTTCATTCTCGTCTTCTCTTCATTATATATTTTATTTCCGTCTTTTTTTCTATCCTTTCTTTCTTTTTTAACTTTATTTTATTTTTTATCTAACCTGATATTGCTTCGTGTATTTTTTTCACTTTCGTTGTTTTCTTTTTTGTTCTTTCTTTCTTTTTCTTTCTTTCTTTTTCTTTCTTTTTCTTTTTTTCATTCATTTTCATCATCATTAGTATTTTTGTTTCCCGACATCCCTTCGTTCATTCTTCTTTAAACTTTATATTTTACTTTTATTTTCTGCCATTCTTTGTTTCTTTTCAACATTATTCTTTCCTGAGTTTATTTCCAACTTTAGTTTTTCTTTCTTTCTTTCTTTCTTTCTTTCTTTCTTTCTTTCTTTCTTCTGACTTCCATATTATAAGTTCTATTTTCGTTTCTTTCATCTCGTCTCCTCTTCATTAGATATTTTATTTTCTTTCCATATTTTCTCCTTATTTTTTTGCTTTTCTGAATTTCATTTTTGCCATTCTAAATTTCAATCTATTTTTAAAGGTTTTATTCATTTTCAAAAAATCTCTCTCTTCATATTTGTTTTACTTTAAAGCTTATCTTTGTTATTGATTTTCCATTTTAACAAAAGCAACAAACAAAAACCTGACATACACTTGATCAAATAACTAAGCTGGCATCCGATTTAGCAAGTCGGGGGACCAAGCCGTGGACTAGACGTGTGGTAAGCAAGACAGAACGAACGACGAAACAATGAACGTCAAATGAGATAAAAGAGGATATGAGACAATGTCATTGTCTTGTTGGGGGTGGGGGATTCCGGCTGTCCCCCGCCCGGCCAATCATTCATTCACTGCTTGATAGCCCAAAAGAATAATTTGTAGAAGTCATTCATTCATTCATTGGTAGCACGACATCAGGCGTCTGCTCATTTGGCGGCCGTCACTAGACGCGGCAGGATATCACCTATGAAGAGGCGACAAAAGCGGCTAGAGTGACGGCGACATTAAGAATCACTGGCTACAGAAAAATCCACGATGCCGGGAAAACCCGATTGCTACCGAAAAGAGCCGGTTAATGTCGAATCAGAACTAATAATATCGAGTGGTGTAAAGTATAACAGGTTTGATTTGGTTTGTTTTCTTTTACGGCATATCAATCTCAATGGGTTATTTAATGCCGACAAAATTTTTATTGCTGGTAATATTTTATTTTTTTATTTTTTTTCAAAAATGTATCGCTGATAAGATTTTTTTCAAAAATGTATCGCTGGTAAGATTTTTTTCAAAAATGTATAGCTGGTAATATTTTTTTCCAATAATATATTGCCGGTAATTTTTTTAAGGATGTATTGCTGGTAATATTTTTTTAAAATGTCTTTCTGGTAATAATGTATTGCTGGTAATATTGCTTTTCTCAAAAAATTATTGCTGGTAATAATTTTTTACAAAGTATTTCTGGTATTAAAACCTTTTTTTACACTTTCATAGTGTTTTTACTCCAGTTTCGGGGTTAGCTATTTGCCCATAGCTGGGCCCCTAACAGGTGCTACCACCCCGGGTCAGGGTGGGCCTGAGAACACCAGCGATTAAGAGGTGGTTCCACGCTCCTCAAAGCCTCCTGATTAGAGGTCTTGCTGTTGGACATAGTTTATCGTCTTACCCAAGACGCGGATGTAGTTTATCGTCATACCCAGAACGGAGTATAGCAGGGTGAAGTTGCGCAAATTCTGAAGGGTAACCTCTCCAATACAGGGTGCCTAAAAAGTGTATACACATTTTTACAGTGAATAGGTAAAGTCAACTTGCTTTTTATTTCAGGTTTACACGTTAGTATTACTAATATCGTTAGGGTTTAGTTTTGAACAAAGTCCGTCCTGAAAGGTTACTGGAAGAGCGAAAATGCTGCTGAAATTCAAAGGAGGTCTGGAAGAGAGTTTCATTCAGCTCCACATCTCGGCTTACAATCACATGAATTAGGGACAAGTTTGAAGCTGATTGTACTGTACACAGTGTGCACAAGAACCGTCCTGGAAGACCTCGGATATCAATCACACCCTCTGAAGAAAGAAAGGGCAATAGAAAAGTTTCACAGAAGTCCAAGGAACTTATCGAAAGGTTGATTACTGCCTGCGATTACTTTGCGCCGTGTTGTCAGAAATGTCTGGATCATAAAGGACATCAATTTGAAAACATGCGATGACAAGAATAAGAACAATTTTTTTTTTTTTAAATCGAGTACACCTCAAGTAAGGCACTAATGCCACTAAGACAGAAAGAGGTTACTAGGTGTAGAAGAATTAGAAACAGAAACATTACTAAGGAACGAGAAAAAAATAAAAGTAATCAGGACGACAGTAGATAGCGACTGACATTACAATTAATTTTTTGAAAGCGTGGAGCCGGGAGAGAGTTCCACGAGCGAGAAGTGCGAGAAAAGAAACTGCTAACATTGAATTTATGGTTACATTTAACCAATTCAACTGTAAATTAATAAGATCACGACGCCGGTGTAGTATTGTGTTTAAATTCAAAAGGTCTAGGTAGCATAGCGAAGAGCTAATCCGAAAAATTACTATGAAATTATTTATAGAAAAAGCACATAGAGGCAACCTGACGGCGATGGAAAAGTGACTGAAACCGAGACGCCAGATCAGGACCAATAATATTGCTGATTCTTCTTTGGATTTGATCAAGGAGCTATAATAAATACAGTCTTCATATGTATTGTTTAAATTAGATATAGTTAGTTTGAGTTACATAGAATTCTTTCTTGAAATCTCAAAATGTATGCATTTTTTATGGTAATGAGTGAAAAATGTAACTAATATTGCTAAAATGTAACCCCCCCAAAAAAAAAACCCAGAATGGCAAGTCTTAATGTGCAGGAGTTTCAAGAGAAATAGAAGTGTTAAAACACTTCGCTTATCAAGCGTGGAGCTACAAAATAAAAAAGACAATCGGTTAAATAAATGGGAGACAAAGGCAAATGTTAAATTTGAAAGATTTTTGATTTTGTAAATATATATATATATATATATATGTGTGTGTGTGTGTGTGTGTGTGTGTGTGTGTGTGTGTGTGTGTGTGTGTGTCCTCTTTATTTGAAACTCCCGTGGATCGGTCCCGTCCCGGGAGTCAAACATATGCAGACAGAATTGCTAATTCAATTAAACGGTGTTTTAATGCTGTTACTGTCCGAAGTATTTTTTCTACTAAAAAGGCACCCCTCCTCACTGTAAGGATGTCTTGCCTACCAGCCAACAAAATTTAGTT